TGTCATTGGTGCACTTGTGGTAGTCACATGATTATGTTATGGAGTTACAGCGCACATATAGTGCCCTTTCATTTGTGTGCTTGTGGTAGCCGCACGATTACGTTACGGGGTTACTCGCATATTTAGTATCCTTTATCGGAGATAGAGGTAGTTGAACGCTCTCATATTGGAGATTCTTCAAGGCGTTGTGTGCTCTCTTATCGGTTATTTGAATATTTATTATGTGGTATTTGTACGAAATATCACGTTTGAATGCATTACAAGTAGTAGTAGTATTGTTGATGTGGTATTTGCAATCAAATTTTTTTATTTTATCAATCTGCATTCTTATCTCATCTCTTTCTCGCTAGGTCAGGTGTCATGCTTGGTCAATATGCATATTATTAATAATATTCGATGGTTTATACCTTGTTTAGATAATATAGTGCATTTACAAGATTCATGTCAATTATAAAATATTGAAAATGTATTAGTTAAACATTTCTACGTGTTTTATATGGAAAACATAAAAAAATTAGAAAATATTAGAAGACTTAACGATAATACGGGAATAAAAGTTTTATTAAATGCCTTTAAATTTTTTTATCAAATTCATTATACAAGCATTAAAATGATTTTTTATAATTAAGTTGGTAAAGACATTTAGTCTTTGTTAGTCTTAGCAATACTTAAGGTGAAAAGTGACAAAAATAGGGAGCAAAAGTCTAAAAGGATAGGATAGTTTGAGATATACAAAAAAGACAATAACATGTTATTTGGAGAATACTAGCTCTCCCTTTAGTGGTTGTCAAATAATAAGTTTGTGACTTTTTGGAAAGAAAATGTACCAAATGATGCATTCTTTTTTCCAACAAAAAAATTTTATTTAAGATCTTGGCATTTGTTCCCAAATACCACATCCAGACGAACAATTATTCTAATTAAATGCAAACATAAGAAAAGATAATAGTATAATTAAAAAAAATTATCATGCCACGAAAAGAGATTTTTTGTCATCCACTTTCCCATACATCTCTTAATTATCTAACAAAATTAAGTATTTTGTCAAATTATTTGAGAAAGATCTACTAACTGTTTCGACGGGTGACATGGTTATATAGTGGTTAAGTTTACAATGGTACTAAAAAATAGAATATATACAAAACACTACAACTTCAACAATATTGAGAATTCAAATCTAAACCTAACAACAAAAGTTCACCATTCTAGCCCTTCCCCTTTCCTCGAGCTCGTCTTTCTTCCTTCTTTCTCCAACCTTAGCCAAAATCTGCGAGCAGCAGCAAACAAGGAAGAGGACATATTGTCATCGTCCATTCATGATCGCCAACCCACAATTTTCTCCAGTAGCAACTTCATGTCTACCATAGCTTGGATTTCCTCCATTATGAGTTGCACCGTCCTGCTGTCGATCTTTCTTCTTCATAAATATCAGGTACCGACTTCCGTAACATAGATTGCAGGTCAATGTGAAGTTGATGGGCCCTACCAATGATCCAATTTTGGAAAGAATTTTAAGTATAAAAATGGAGTTGGGGAAGGTCCTCCAAGATGAGCCAATAGAGAACATAAAAGTCAAATGAGATGATGAGTCCAGACTAATCCACCTCCAACTTATGATTAATAATCATTAGCTAAGTAATCATTATAATTACCTAAAGCGTTTATCATATAGTGTGCAAGTCCAGGAGAAGTCAAACTTTTCTAGCTCAAGTTACAACAATGTTTTGGGAACATATAGCTTGTCCAATTCTCCAATCAGTCTAATTTCTCATCCTTTGTAACTATATCAGTTTAAAGAAATGGGTTGAGTGGAAACTCGAGAATTTTAACGCGTCAACTGGAGGAGATGTGAATAAGGCATTATGGAATCGCATAAAAATTACTTATCTCCATTTTCCTCTAGATTTTTAAGTTGTAAGAGTAATGCAAAATAAAGATCTATTCCACTTAGTGGGTTAGATGCATGAATTATTATTTTCTGGTGGCCTCAACTAAATGTTGGCACTGTGTTGATGGAGGATAAGCCTCAAATATGGTGTTAGAGAGGTGAAGTTGTTCCCTACCTCTAACACAAGTAGTTCAATCTTGAACAATCTGACAAAGTTGATGTGAAAGTGATGAGATTTCACTCTAAGAAATAATATGTATCCTAAATTCATATGTACAAGAGAAACATTTTTGAAAAACTCAATGAATTGTATTTGTCGTTCGAGTATTTTTGTGGCATTGACAATCACCGTTGATCTAATCTAACGAGTATTATTAAATCTAATAATTTTTTTTTATTTATTGACAATTATATTTAAAAAATGATTCCTGAAAATTTTATACGCGCATTCTAGTACCCCAACAAATATTTTCATTGATTTTTATATTAAAGTACCATGTTTATTTCAATCATACTTTTCCACCCCCAGATATTATATTGTTGAGAATTTGTTTATATTTCGTTCCTTCCCCAATTAAAAGCTCAAACGACAAGACCCTTGTGTTCTTGCCCCTAATTTCCCCTCCAAAAATTAAAATTTATTTTTAATGAACATCAAGAGATCCAAATATATCTCCGTTGCAAATCTTGTGCTTCTTCTTCGCCTATGCCCCCTACTCGTCTCCTTCCTTCAGAGTCTGCAATCTGATAGACCCAGAACCCGTTCGCCCGTTCCTACTACTGACATACCAGTTCGAAGGCGACAACTCGATTTCAACTCCAGACGCTAAGGTAGGTGCCGTTGATGGTCATGTGATTCTCGATGCATGTGATTCTGAGGCCAAGCTACACTGCCTTGATGGCGGCTACAAAGCTGCTGTAGACGCTCGCCGATGATGACCACATCTTTGTTAACAGATCCTGAAGAAGTGAAGTCATGGGAGGAGTCTGTGAGGGAGAAATAGTTGGTGTCATGGTTGGAATTTGAGAAATTTCTGGTTGGAAGGTACGGCTTCCGCATCACAAAGCTTGTCAGGAGTGAAAACCTCTCTTATCAGGCCCACCGATGGACGGCGGTCGCTGAACCTGATGCTATTCGTCTCCAATCGGCAGTCATCGCAACGAATCTTGAATAGCCAGTTAATTAGCTTGGGGTCTCGGAAATTGCGTCACAAAAAAAGGAGTGAGGGGAGAATCATGAAAAGAAAGCCATAATTAACGAGATGGTAATTTTCTCGAGAAAGAAAAGAAATTTTTAGGTAGATGAAAAGAAATTTTTTGAATGAATGTTTCACCAGGGTTCATGTTCTTTTCTCGAGAAAGCTTGTAGCTTTGACCTGAGCTGGCTTCCGTCGTGGTGGGAGCAGTTGCAGTATACCAAATGCCAAGATGATGGGTAGGAGTCTAGTTAAGATATTTGGGATAGGATATGCTAGGAGAGTAATGTTTTTAGCTTCAGTTAGTTTCTTGATGACAAAATTGAGAATTGTATTGATTTGCCTATTTACGGATATACAATGGCTTGTTTATATTTTGGGCAGATACCATCCTGGAGAAGGCTAGTAGGGTAGGTTGATTTCTCTATCATCTCATAACTATCCAACATGAACAACAGACAACATATGATTTCTCTAAGCAATTAAAGTGCCTGTAAATGTGTGCGTCTACTCTGGGAACGTTATATTCAAAATCCTTTAGAAGTCAATAACAAAAATAGCAGACTCCAGAGATCATTTCTTCTTTGATTGCTCATTTTCCTCAGCATTCTACAAGCTGTTTCCAGTCACGATATCTTGCGGAAGGGAGTTTGTCTCATCCTGTAGCATTACCTTTATCTCTGTTGAGGTCTGATAACCCAGTGGTGGAAGGTTGTTGTGGATGAATATAGTGAGTGAGCTATGGAAGAGCGGTGCAGAACTTTTGTTGGTCAAAGCCTCACTGAAGTGCAATTCCTTAAGAAAGTGCAGGCGTTGCTGATACCGCTGAGGAGTGGATATCCACATATTGCTCCAATACTTTTACGGCTCGTTTGCTTGTTGGATTTGAAAAATGAGGGTTTTGACTCAAAAAAACCTTTGGATTTATGAGGGATTTGTACCGTCATGGATTTGAAGAGTCTATTGTTTGCATGATAGACTTGATGATATAATTATGATGGATTTGCTATAAATATAACTAGCCATCAAGGATTTACAAATCCCACCCCAATATGTGGGATTTACAAGTTCGTGGGGTCCAAGTTGATTTAACTGTATTCAGTGTTGTCAATAGTTACCGAGTAGGTTTGGTACTTGTTTTGAGTCTCTGTAATGGTTGACATTATTGTGTAGTTAGTGCGGAGATGTTCCTTGGTGAATGCTGAGACTTGAACCCTTAAATTGTTGTGGAATTGCTTGGCAGAACAAGGGTTTATGGTTGCCAAGGGCGTGATGGAAATCTATCATTTAATGGTTGTTCAATATAAATTGAACTCTTTCAGAATCAGGCACAGGTTCCGGTTAAGAAGCAAATGAGAAGTTTTGTGCGCTTAAAATGGGATTCTTTTGAATCATCACCTATCATATGATCGTTGTAAGTTCCCTTTGAATAAGGCAGTGACATTCTTGATTTGGCATATGATTTCACAGAACTCGGCACTTTCATACACTCTCCGCGTTCTTTACTATTACATCTTAAAGTTGGAAGCAAGAGAAAATTTTGTAAATATTTGGGGGACAACCACAGAGTTGTGTTCTACCTAATAGTTGACCGAGATGAGCTGCAGGTTTAGGGACAAGAAGCATGGTAGCAAGTACAGTTTCAGCCTACCTTACGGTATCACTCCTGGAGGACTTGTGCATTGGTTATTTGAAGCAAAACGAAGTAGATGGGAATAGACAAGAAACCAAAGTCATAAATTTAAAAAATTTGCGAAGGCACAAGGTATGAAATAGAAGCAAACTGCAACAAAGTCATACCAAAAGTATTACGAAAGGAAAACCCCAGTAAAACAGCACCGAGCCATTATTCTAAATCGTTGAAAGCAAATCGTAGAAGCAAGTATTCGAATCTACGTTGTAACTTAATTATCTCATTATCGAGTGATAAGGTCTTTTATCACCTCCATTTCTTTCCGAGCTGCATAATAATGTCCAATGATATGATGACACTTTTGGGCAAATTTGTGCGCCAGCTTCAGAGTAGTTGCTCGATTTATGTTGTAAGGTGAAAGTAGCAAACGCACTGCAATCGTCATTCGAATTCCCTCATCAACATACTGTCTCGAACAACAAACTTTATTTGGTTAGGTCTTGTAGGCCAAAACGAGTTGTTCATACACAACAATAAGATTTGTAATAGAGTAATAATAAAAATTATATTACCGCAACATCGTATTTGTCAAACAACTCTGTACGAAACATCCACTGGCACACCCACGCTCCAGAATCTTCACGACTATACCCCACCACAAAGCATACAATCAAATGGATGAAGAGGACGAATGACTAGTAATTTTAAGATAGGATGTAGAATAGAAAGTAAATGTGCTTACACAAATGCAGATTAATTTCTTATAGGCTTTGTAATGTGAAACTCGGAAATTTTAGGTATATCTCCATCCCACGAACACATCAGAGGGGCTAATGTGTCTAAAAATGTTAGCTACAGTGAATACAAAGCAACCAGTTGTCAATAGCAGCATAAATAATAACAAAATTGCGGAAAGTACAGACATCAATCATCAAAAAGTGTTGTATCATTGTTTGCATACCTTTTATACTTTTGAATCATGTTTGCATACCTTTTATACTTTTGAATTCTTTTCCGAATAATATTTTTTCACCATTATAAAAGAAAGCGTAACACAATGTTGTATCCAAAAGCATAAACACTTACCATTGTTTTGACAACTTCTTCCCTGATGGATGTGCGATCGTCCAAATACAAAGCTTGTAAGATGATTGCTTCTTTAGACTTGAGATCCACAACCAATAAAAACCAATCATTCTCATCCTTCATGGGGATGTAAACCTGATAACATAAACACACGATTACAATCCAACCAATGGAAACGATATTTTTTAAATCCAAAACAACCAAGAATAAGATACAACCTTGCTACACTGAGGTGAAATCTGCATAAATGAGTATTGGTATTTGTCCAATGCTTCCTGAGAAGTTAGATCTCCAGTCATCAAAGATGCCTACAAATGTTGACATAAATCACAGTTACTTTTTATATATTAGTGGGCAAACTCTGAAGGAACATCAAACAAGCAGACTTCAAAAGAACTAGCTTATTCTCAATACCGAAAACTCACGCGGCAAGAAACATATCTCCAATTATCTGTCATCAACTGTTTCTGACTTAGATAGCTGCACACCATTGTCAGTACCTAATATACATAAACGAAAGCGATATTAGATTAGGATTAGTAGCAATTGTCGAATCATGTAATTGAGAATAGGAACTCACATCATCTGCTAATGCCTTCCCTGGACAAAGGCTCATGAACACCTTTCGCTGACCTTAAATTCCCAAAGTGTGGACCAACACTTCATCTTCTTATAGGCCTCTTCCGAAGGCATAACAAGCCACCACAAGTTCATCAAACTTGAGTTCAATGTGTCTTGGAATATGAAATTCCATTGATGTTATAACTTATGTATTACAGGTGTAAACATTCACATCCTTCCTAAATATGTTGCGAATTGCAAACTAAATGAACACATAAATGCATAATAGAGGAAGTAGAGTATGAACTTTGAATATTCAGAAGCAGAGGGATGAGTACACATAAATCAATCAATGAAAGGGAGCATAAGGAAACCAACTGCCGATAGTAATAACCTGTGGATCCCTTTCTGTTTCATTCGAGGCAATGAAATCTGATTTTGTTTGACTCCGTAGAGGAGTAGATGGCCCCCGTTCTTCAAGAGTTGAGTTGGTCCATGCTCTTCTTTTGCTGGGAGTAATGGGTATAGTACCCCAAGCATACTACATCAGGCCCATTGTTTTCTTGGACAGGATCAGCTGAATTTGTTTTCTTGCTTTCTTTATTCATGTAGTTAGAAGACAAATATCAGTAGAGCCGCTATAAGTCTACTATTAGTGCTAATTCCAATGAAACTAGGGAAAGATGCAATACAAAGAGAGAATCCATGTCTATACAGTAGGATTAACATAGTCCATCATGCATACAGAATTTAAAAAACCTCAAGCAACACACATGACAAAAGAGAAAGGCTAGAAAGAGATGAAAACAAATTATTTTTGGAAATTATATAGTGCTACTGTGGTAATACACACAATAAATCATGTTAATAACATTGTAAAAGCTAAGTCTGCCCTGGGAAATGAAGTGCTTGTACAGTATAAATGCTATTGCCATGCTCCCTAGCATCCAATGAATATAATAACAAAGGGCATGGATGAGAACGTACATAACAAACGGAAAATTGCAAGGGCCAAAATAAAGGAATTAGAAGAGGAAGGAAGATGGGAATGAAGATCAAATCTGGCAGATGTCCTTGCTTTCTTCACGTTATCCATGGTATTCAAGAATGTGTGCACGAACGAAAGAATATGAAAAGTGGATACGGGTTTGCCTGCTAAATAAAATAAGCACTAGTTATATAATGCTCCACAGAGTGTCAAAGAAATATGTACCTACGGGTTGGAGATTCACCAAATTCTTGTAGAAATCAGATGAACGGAAATAAGAGGTTTGAAATATGAATAAAAAACTAAGAATTTTATACTGGAACTAACAAATTCTATCGGTTGAACTGAAAATGCTGATTATGCGTAACATAGGGAATTAATATTTCTCCAGCCACCGTATCTAGTCAATCAACAGTTTGTTACCAACCATAAGAGGCATACAAAGACATAAATGCATTGCAAAAGTGTGCACATGAGATTTGTTAGGGACCCATACAATTTGTTTCTATACCCATTTGATGGAGGCCAAATCTTAGGAAGGAGAAAGATCATGATACTGTCAAAGGTGCATTGACATAGTCAAACCTGCTACAACATTCCACTATGGTATGATAAGTTAACTTACCAACATCAGCTAATATTACGAATGAGTTGTTTCACTAACCAATGGCAGGCCCGAATCCTCTCCTCATTTCAGGCCACCTTCTACCTAAGGAGTCCAACTTGACAGGGTCGTTGGATGGTCCGTTCCTAGGCCGGACCAGACATGCAATTACAAAAATTAAATTCAATAGCTTTTTTTGTGAACAAATTCAATAGTTAAAATATTAAAATATGCAAATAAGATGGAAACGGTTACATATGAACGAGGGAAACACCAGTACATACCTCCTCTGCGTATATTTTTCTCACTTGGAACAAATCTGAAAAACTGCCCCATTTCAAACAAATGACAACAGAGAGAAGCCATTACAATCCTCTAGAGGGAACGGACGTCCCGCCTATAGATCTGACTCTTCCTAATAGCAGTGGTGATTTAAGTAGAGAGGAGGATGATAGGGCTGAGGATTCTGGCAGTGTACGTGTTCCTCCTAACGATGGAGTGGACGAGGATGAAGCATTGTGAAACTTAACCTCCGAAGATGTTCTCGGTCAGAAGTTCAATAGTCAGGATGAAACTTATACGTTCTATAATAACTACGCGAAGGCTTGGGGGTTTTCTGTCAGACACGAGAAGAAAGCAAAGAATACTCATGGAGATATTACACGTGCAACTTATGTCTGTTCCTGTTAGGGATATAGACGCCCTCATAAAGGGGAGCAAAAGAGAGAATCTCCCATGAATACGAGATTCGGATGCAAAGCAAAACTATGGGTGGCTTTGAACAAGGCATATAAAAAATGGGTTGTTGACAAAGTTGAGGTACAACACTCTCATGAACCAGTTCGAAAACAATGTACTCACTACTTGAGATCGCATAGAGGTTTGACGGAAGCAGATAAATCGGACTTTCGATTCAAAAAAAAAATGCAGGCATGAAACCTTCCGAAGTAATAAATCTAGCTATTCAAACTGCCGGAGGGCCTCACAAGGTGGGATACACACAAAAAAAAGATGGATACAACTTCAGTAGCTCAGATCGCATGGAAAGGATCGGTGCAGGTGATGCTGCAATAGCACTTGCATATCTAGAATCAAAGAAAAGTATGGACACTAAGTTCATCTTTAGACACACTGTTGACGAAGAAAATAGACTGCAGAAACTGTTTTGGGCAGACAGCATGAGCATTGCTGATCTTTCATGTTTTGGGGATCTGATGTCATTTGACACCACTTACAAGAAAAACATCTATAACATGCCTCTTGTCATATTTTCAGGTGCAAAGTTTGTTCCTTCAGAATTTGACTATTAAATGTTAAAGTAGCATTGTTAATTAAAGTAGGATATCTAGAGTTTGGTCGTTACTGTGTTTTGAAGGTGGGTGCAACATGGGTGTGTTACTTTTTTTATAATTGATGTGTTGCTACTACTATTAGTAAGGACTCAGACGCCCACACTCGGGCACGGTACTGGTTTCGCATCTGTCTCGTGGAATTATAGCATCCCCTACCCTTAACGAAAATTCGCATACGTAGTTTCTACTATTTTAGTTTAATTTGGCAGTCTCAGGTGTAGGACACTTATCATCATCTTCCCCTCAAAATTAGGTATATGCTTGATGTCTTAAGCAAAGAAATTTAATTATGATTTAGTGCATTTCACTGTCATGGTCATTTATTATAATTTAATAAATACCATGTTCGCAAAAGTTTGTTTACTCTGTTCTATTTTGTAATAATTGACATGGTTTGACTAACACTCGATGTCTTATTAGGTATAAATCACCATTTCAAATCTTGTTTGTTCGGAAGGGCCCTCTTGGATAATGAGACTGAAGAAAGCTACAATTGGGCTTTGAATTTCTGAAGGAAATGTTGGGCGAGAAAGTGCTTCATACGGTTGTCACGGATGGGGATAAAGCAATGCGGAATGCCATACAAAATGTCTTCCCACATGCAACTCATCGCTTATGCGCCTGGCATCTCTCAAAGAACATCACAAGCAATGTGAAGAACAAACTAGAATTTGAACCTGGATGGAGCAAGTTCGTGACTGCTGACTATGAAGAAGACGAATTTGAAGAGAAATGGAGGGCATTGTTGGAAAAGTGTTCACTAGAAACCCACTCATGGGTTTCTATATATTTGTTTGACAGACGGAGTGAATGGGTAGAGACATACATGAGATCTCACTTCTTTGCTGGATTGACAACGACCTCCAGATGTGAGGGAATCAACGCATATATTGCAAGGTATGCAGACGAAAAACATAGTTTACTGGATTTCTTCATTCAGTATGACCGTTGGAAAACCTTACGGAAAAGTTGGTACTAAAACGATGGTCCAAGAACCCAAATTCGTTTGAAAGTATGCCACTTCCACAGATATGATCGGCGATGATCATGATTTCAACACTAGGTATGGGACACTTCAGTTCCAGGCGATGAGGTTCTTCTTACTAGGGGCAGCTTCTCCCCTCTCTTTTGAGGTTGCGCAGCGGGGTCTTATAGCAGTTCGCGACAAGCTAGAAATGATGCATACGACTCCAGCTCAGAGAAAGACAATTGTCAGACTCAAGGAGTACGAAGATGTGCTAGACGTAAAGAAAGTAGCATTTAAAGGCTGTAGGAAACGCAAAGGAACAAAACACCCCAAACTGAAAACAAGAAGGTGTGGTAGGTGCAAGAAAAGAGACGGTCATTATATTAGTACTTGTCCCGAACCCGAAGGCTTCGTCCCTCCATCTACACCTCCTTCATCTGATGACGACGCCGATAATGATTGGAATGTTCCTGGGAATGATGTTGGGGCTAATGAAGAAGATGATGATGACAACAATGATGAAGAAGGTAGCCCGCCCCCAACGGTCAGTGGCATGACAGTATCCAGTTCTCAATGTCTTCAACTATTCATTCTAAATTAGTGTGGGTTGTTGATAGCTTTAAGATAAAATATGACAAGTATGGAGGTTTTTTTAACAGACCATGCCACGTACTAGAAGTGCTACTAAAGGTACCAGAGAGCGCGGAGAACCAAGTCAACCTCCACAAACTTGTGTGCAACCTCCAACTGATGAGCCTCAACGGGTACGTGTTAGTAACATCATGTGTTTGAGTATAAATGATATATGGGTTAAATGTGTGATTATATATTCTGTGTTTGTTGTTACAGAAGAGGAGACAGCCTAGATATAATAGCAGGGAAAAGAATATCATCAACTAAGCATGAAGTTGGCCTCTATCTATGTTTGTTTAGCTTTCTATTTTTTTTAATGGATTTGGATTTGGAGCTTTACAATAAATGTATCTTGATAGACCAATAATTACACATGTTTTTACCCCTATTCTTGAGCCGTTTGAGAGGTTGACTCTCGTGTTTAAGCCGATTTCACGCGAGGTTGTGTGTTTATGTCATATTTCAGGACCCGGCGTTGGAATCGAGGCGAGGGAACGAGTTCTGGATCGAAAGGAGCAAAGTTGGGAAGAAGTGGGCTGCAGGAGGAAAATACCCGGTCAG